ACAGTGACATGACACCGTAACGGCAACTTATTTAAAAATATCTCTTACCGAAGCCGTTACGGTAACAAAGGCTAACACGGTTTCGGTAACCTGTTACGGTCTTGATAGCGTCACTCATTACTAGAAACGCGTGGTTAGAGTTGTTGCGCGAGTGTATACCGCAAGCGTGTTCTGTGGGTCAGGAGCAGCATGCATTATGAATCACGTGCATATTCATAGCCATAACGGGCGTGCTTACATTGTATACATTTATGGATGCGGTTGGATGCACAATATCTTGTTGTGGTAAGCAAGCCAGAGGTTGTGGCTTGAACGATAACGGCAAATGATTGAGCGTGAAGAAAGGAATGAATCATTGTGTAAACCAATAGTGTGTCTTTGTTGTCTGCAATGTTTTATCTCTCGTAACATGTTTTGAGTGCCTGGCTAAAAAAGTAGTGTGATGAAGTTGTCAAATGATTTAGTACATCTCCATCCAGCCTCGGAACAACTTCTCTTGGAATATCTGCCTTTATCTTTGCATGCCATTTTGTTAGCATTCGAGTTGTTGTCTGCTAATCTGCATTAAAGGTCATCGGGTCGAGTCAGCCGCTGTTGTTTAACGTTGTAGTTAGTGGTAGATAAAGGTCATATCCACCGAGTTTCAGCTAACCTTTAGTTACGCGACATGGAGGGCATGTGTGCGTAGCAAGTAAAGGTAGCTAAAGGTGTGGAGCTGCGAGGGAAGGTCAAGTTCAGTAGTGGTGAGGTTATAACTACTGCAAGTGTTTCAGAGTGAGTTGATGTGCTGTTAGCAGCAGTGAGTGCACTGCTGCAGGTGACAATGTATTAGTGGTGGTGAGTGCATTACCACTACGAGTGTTAATCGTGAGACATCAGTGCGAGTGATTTGCTGTTATAATTGTTGATGGATAGTGTGTCATTGTGGACGCTGTGAGACGAGCGACGAGTGTGGATTGTGATAGGTCACAAGTGTCGCTTACAGCAAACCACGCGTTGTATGAGCGAGTGTGGGAGCGGTATCTAGTAAGAATACTTTGCACTGCTTACAAACGACGTCGGTGAATGTTTTAAGGCTCGTTTGTGCATAAGTTGGTGCCGGCGTTCTGCGGTTCATTTGTCGGAGCGTACAATGATAGGTGTGTTGGAGCGGAAGCGGGTGCAGGTGGTCGACAACTAGCGGGAGCAGCATAACGGCATTCCTCTGTAAGTCGTATGGCAACTTATCATTTTTTGCTTTCTCTTCGTGGGTCCTTTTGTTCATGACATAGTTTACACAGGATAAGTTAATAACGATTGTGCAGTTGCTTTCAGTTTGTTTTTTTAAAATAAAGTTTGTGTCAAAAATAGTCATTTAGTTGACTTCAGACGAATGTTTGTTATTAACTGGTTAATCATGAAAATTGATCTTATGATTAAGTTGACCTTAGAAGATAGTCCTAATATTACTAGAATCGTAAATCATCAGCTTACTGTAAGGGATTTCGATCATTTTAACAGTGTGTGCTCTAGATTGTTTGCGGATTTTCCCTGTATTCTTTCGATTTCTTTTGCATGTAAAAAATACGGCGTATATGGTGAGACCCGCTTGGAAGGAAATATTTATAAGCAGGACCAGCAGATTAGAAACAGTAATACTTAAGTACGCATTTAGGTATATTTCGATGCCGTCTTTCATGCTATTAATTTTCGAAAAAAAATGAATTAACTCTTAAATATCTCGATTTGTAGAATAAATAAGTTTTTTATCTGCGCAAGTCAAAAGTTCTGCTGACGTACCAGAAAGAGCGAATCTGTAAATCGTCGTAACCGATCGTTTTAACATGCGCCTTTAAAATGCGATTCTTGAATTTTTTGTTGCTGATGATAAAACAATCTCTGATTGCATAAATTTAAGTTTAAAAAAGTGCTTGTACGTATGATGGCAGGAATTCGCCTTAGAGATTTACCAGTATTCGGTGGACAGTCCACTGAATCTGCAGAAGATTTTATGGACAGGTTTAACAGAATTAAGAACTATTTTTCGTGGAGCGATGAACAGTCTTTGGTGCATTTCGGTTTGTGCTTGACAAATGCTGCCTTAAAATGGTTCAAGAACAGCGAATCCAAACTGAAAAAATTTTGCGACGCAGAGCAGGAATTTTTGACAATCTTCGGTAGAAATCTGTTAGACTTAGATATCAGTAAATTCATGTCAAAAAATTCCGCTGTTGACGAACCCTTGACGTACGTATACGGTGTGTTGGATTACATTGCTGCAACCCATGTCAGCGCTGGAGAAGAAGAAAAGGTCAGAATTCTTTTCGAAAATTTGCCGATGCAGCTCAAAGCAGATATGATACAAAATCGTCCCAAAACAGTCGAGTTATTTACTGAGAGGCTGCAGGAAATTCGTAAGAAGCGTCAATATCTAAAAGCTGATGGGGAAGTGCCCGACGATTGTAAAATTTTCCCGCTTTCTAAGATGTTTTGACGTGCTACTGGAAGTTCCAACTAGTTGTTCGCCTAAAAAAAACTAATTCAAAAAAACAGAAATAATTCTTAGCTCAGTTAGCTAATAATTCATAACCACTAGTCTAAGTATGAATCAATTAAATTGTAATTATGCAAGTAATCTTCTTTTGGAGGTGGCGCAATTATCGGTACACCAATAAAGCAAGGGAGGAAACCCTTTATGTACTTTAGCGCTGTGAGTGATTCAGTCGCTTTGCTTAATTCCAACAGTTTTGCTGATTTGTGCCAAAGTGTTTTCTTCGTAGACGTTTAAGGGGTGCATTTTCATAAATATTTAGTTGTGGTTTATCAACAGCGTTTGTCAAAATTAAAAAAAAAACTAATTTTCTTAATAAAAATTTTGAAATTTGGGTCTAATAATTGATTTGCACCGTACAATCGCCGTATGTAAAATCTTTGACAGCGTATAAGCCGTTAGTGATGACTTTTTTTTACAATTTTGTTTTTGGAATCACTGACTTCTGTTCGGAATTTAGTTGAATGTTTTAAAGTTGTGCAACAAAGCTGAAAAGAGAAATAAATGGGGATGTTGTGAGAGAAAGTTGAGTAAATGAAATGGGTCAATATTTTGAGCACACGTTTATTGTTGTTCCAGCTTGCGCAAGCACTGTCGCTAGAATAGCAACATACCAAAAAGTTTCAGAACATTTTCACATCTTTTTTTAAGATATCATCATGTTTTGATACCTTTTGTCTGCACAGGTAAAATATCCACCATGCGTATTGTTTTACACTAGAACGCTTTATTAACATGAACAACAGTTACTTATGCATTGGGACGCCTCTGCATATGTAAATGTCCTTCAGTCAAGACTAAGCAGACAATTTTATCATCAGATAATTCTTGTGTGCAAGCTTGCCGGCAGCCCACACAAGAAAATTGTTGTATAGCGGCAGTAGAAAAGTTTTTCTAAAAAATGAAAAAAATTTGGTGCTCAAGATTTAGATTAAATTAATATTTAAATTACAAAGTATTGTCACACATTCGGCTGGAACATACCTGTCTACTAACGCAATACGAGCGATTAAACATCAACTTTTGGTTATTTATAAATTCTGTGTGTAAGCATGAGTTTAAGAATTTTGTGCACTGCATTAAAAAAAAAGCCAGATGTAGGATTTTAAAGTTGAAATTAGAAAATCAGATTCTTTAAATCGAACGTAATCGGGTCCACGATTTGCTTTTTTTTCTAATCGGATAATTATCTGATAAAATGCGGCATTTCTTCGTACGTTTACGTTGGTTGCGTTGTGCTCGTTTATTTAGGCTTTAGCTATTTAAGGTAAGATATTGTTGCATAATTTTCTGACCATCGAAACGTTTAAAACAGAGAAGCTAAAGATATTAATAGCTACCTTTCATTGTTGCCATCACTAATTAAAGCTCGTTGCACTAGTTGCATATGATCCCTCATGTATGCTTGATTTCTCTTGTCGCACCCGAACCACACACCATTGTTAAGTACGCTCTCAATCATATCATATTGCTCTGCGCTTATTAACGTAAAATAATATTTGATTTTTTTTAAAAAAACGTTCTGGTCGGAAAATTGTAGGAGTTGGTTCTAAGTATGGCGAAACGCAAGTGCAGTACCAAGAATACTTTACCATTGTGAAGCACCGTATGTAAAAAGTACATACGGTACTGTAACCATGGATATGGATCTGTAAGTACACTTTGGTCAGTACAGCAGTTGGGTTAAGGGAATTTTTACGTAGTTCCAATTCTAAACAGCCGGACGACTGCCGGAACAGTCTATAAATTCAAACCTGACCTTTCCAATACAAACGTGCCGAGCGTGAAAGCGCGAGGCTTACCTTGTACTAACAATCATTATGCTTATGATACTCGTACAGATTGCGCAGTGTGCAAATGATACTCGTACCAATAATAAGTCTAGGAGATATTAGTTCTCAGTGTGAAGGTCTAGTAATGGTGTAATCATTATGTGAGTAGGTGAATGTTATACTTGCGTGTAAGGTACTTTGTAGAAGAACTTGTCAACGGAACAGCCTACGCCAACGGAAAAGCCGGCTAACAAGATTCTGCATAGTCCGCGGTTTAAACGTTTCATTCAGCAGCGCCCTAGCCGGAAGAAGCTGCACAGCTGTTTTGTCGCACCAGCGCACAGCCAATTAGCGTGACCAGACGGAAGGAGTATCTACCGGCGGTGCCAGCGGAAGTAGTGCTGCTGCGGTGTCCACGTCTAGTGCGAGTTGCAGCACTAAAGAGACTTGAGCCAGTGCAAGTAACAGCGAGCGCGGGATATTGAGTGCCGTAATTGGTTCGAGTAAGAGCGCTGATAAAACTTGACTTGTGCGAGTGCTAGTGCAGGTGCGGTATCCTTTAAAATTGTGTGAGTGGTGACGTTGGAGCATGCAATGCAGGTGACAGCATTGCGAGTGCTTGTGCGAGTGTTGGCATGAGCGAGCGTGAATTCAGTGCAAGTGTTAGCACTGAGAGTGTCCATGCGAGTTGTGGTATGGGCGAGGTGAAGTCCTGTGCGAGTCAGTGCACAGTAGCGTGTGTGTCCGGCGTGAGTGATGGCGCGGACGAAAGGAGACCCTGTGCGAGTCAGTGTACAGCGGTAGATGTGTCCGGCGTGAGTCATGGCGCGGGCTAGTTGGTTAATGGTGGCAGTTGTGGCACTGGGAAGTCGATATCCAGTGCGAGCGGTGGTTTTGCAGAGATGATGCCGGTCAGTACGACTGCCAACACTAGCGAGTGCAATGTTAGTGTGAGTGGCAGTACTGGCGAGGATGGCATCGGAGTAAACGGCGCGAGTGGTCAGTGTGGTGTCAATGTGAGTGGTGACATTGGCGAGTGTGGTGTCAATGCGAGTGGTGGTATTGGCAGCAGAGTGGTCAGTGCGAGTCGTGGCATTGGCGAGTGTGTGTGCGTGGAGAATACAACATCAACAAACATGACGATATGTTGCGGACGTGTCAGGAGTTGTTAACCGGATACGTAGACCGGATGGGAGACTCATTACCATTTCCGGCGGAGTTTACATGGATGGCGGATGAGTTGGCCCGGATTCGCGTGCAGTTAAGAGCATTAGTCCCACATGGAGCGCGGTTTACCTTGGAGTCACCAACCGACATCTGCTACGGACGCTACGTAGTGTACGATTTCGATAAGTTCATCTATGGACAGTTTCTTTACTACCGTAGAGACGACGGCGCGATGCGTTATGAGAGCGAATACGGCTGTGTGTACAAAGAGTGTGGCGCCCAGAAGGAGCTAGTGTTAGTGGGAGAACATCCACGATTTTTTAATCCGTTTAAATGGTTTGTGGAAGAGGAAGTTCGCGATACGTACGGACCGCGCTTGTATCACAGTACACTCCCGGAGATACGCCTTCAATACATCATGCGGGAGGTGACGGAGCGGAGAGCGCAAGTTGCAGCGGATGCGGCGCCATACTATAGTGGCATAATGGAAACGCTGCACTTTGCGGATCTGCTAGTGCGATGGGGGAGCGCGCCGGAAGTTGTGAGCGAACTAGACGATGATGCCGGTTATCACCAAACGCCGGCTAAGTCAAGTGCGAATGCGGTAACAATGCAGCCTGCACCGGTAGAGGAGATGGACACAGATTCGGTGGATACCGTAGCGGAAAGGGGCAAGTGCCATCCGAGTTGAGGGATGGTGGTCACCTTCTGGGACGGTCGGACTCGAGTGTCTGGACGGATTGCGGAGGGCGATTGAGTGTTAAAGCGACCCATGACGAGGACGTCATGATCCATAGGAGAGGCGTGTTGCGCGAGTGTATACCGCAAGCGTGTTCTGTGGGTCAGGAGCAGCATGCATTATGAATCACGTGCATATTCATAGCCATAACGGGCGTGCTTACATTGTATACATTTATGGATGCGGTTGGATGCACAATATCTTGTTGTGGTAAGCAAGCCAGAGGTTGTGGCTTGAACGATAACGGCAAATGATTGAGCGTGAAGAAAGGAATGAATCATTGTGTAAACCAATAGTGTGTCTTTGTTGTCTGCAATGTTTTATCTCTCGTAACATGTTTTGAGTGCCTGGCTAAAAAAGTAGTGTGTGATGAAGTTGTCAAATGATTTAGTACATCTCCATCCAGCCTCGGAACAACTTCTCTTGGAATATCTGCCTTTATCTTTGCATGCCATTTTGTTAGCATTCGAGTTGTTGTCTGCTAATCTGCATTAAAGGTCATCGGGTCGAGTCAGCCGCTGTTGTTTAACGTTGTAGTTAGTGGTAGATAAAGGTCATATCCACCGAGTTTCAGCTAACCTTTAGTTACGCGACAGAGTGATAAGGCTGGTAAGGGTAAGCGCAACCATGAGTTATGATATTATAAATAATTCAGGCGGTAATACAAGTAACAGTGTATGCGTCACAAACGGTCAAAAGCGGTTCCTGACTTTAGAACCCGCGTAGCATGTTTCGTTACGACAATGCTTGAAAACAAATTTGCAAAACATATATCCAGCACTTGCTCAAAAGCTTCAGAATGTTGTGAATTTTGTTGTGAATATTCTGAACTGTACCGCTACAAATAAGTAAGTACATATCAGCTACGTGAAAGCGAATTTTGTAAATTCACCTGAACTTTCTGTGAATACTGGAGCTTGTATTTCTTTACGGTAAGAATGGTGAGTGAGTCGTTACAGTAAAAGCGGTGAGAGATGTTTCACGGTAACGCAACATGGTACAGTATTTTGATAGTCATTACGACTTGTTACGGTATGCCTCGCAACGGCAACAAAAAAACATTAAGAAAACACCACCTGCACCAAGCAAAATTCCCGGACAGGACCCTAAAAACAGACCCTCCATACTATTTGAATGGCAAGTTCGTGAAAAATGCCCCGGTTGTTCTCCGCATGTCGGTTCTCCAAAACGCACCAACCGGGGCGGGCGAAATTCCGGGACCGGGTTCCAAAAAACGGGCTCTCCATACTATATGTATGGCGGGTTCGTGAAAAATGCCCCGGTGGTTCCCCGCATGTCGGTTTCTCCAAAACGATCCGCCCGGGCCGGTCTGTGTGAGTGTACCGGGTCCAAATTTACGATCTCCTATTCACTTACTGCAGCAGGTTCGTCAAAAATAACCCGGTTGGTTTTTCGATTTTTTGACTACCTGGACCCCGGGGACCCAGCTCTCCGCATGTCGCACCGCAAATTAAAAACGCTCGCTCGCTTCGCTCGCTCGCTTGATAAGTAGTAACCATTAACAAATATTGTTGATGAAAATATTAACAGAAATAGTTTTGTCAGCTTGTTGATAAGTTCTAGTTATAGTTTTAGCACGACTCACCAATGGCTTGTGTGCACTTGGATTTTCTTCCACAGGCTCATCAACATTCATGTCTTCGAGTACCTGAGGAGAATCTAAATTTTATTTGGAACTGTTTATTCTACTTAAGTTATAAAAAGGCATACCACAATCCGGCCGTCCAGCGCACACCGGTTTCCTGCGCCGCCGTACTGACTGGGTAAGTCCTATAAAACGTTTCGGCTTTTAAAATTGTTTGGTTTATCATGCGACAGCCGTGGTTATAATGTGGTATTACAAGCATCTATCTTACTGATCACAAAAACACTACCTTGCTATTGCACTTCTAACCTGGGCAGACCAAGTAAGACAGGATTGATAAAGTTACAGTTAGTTGCTATCTACCTTACAGATCGAAAAAATAAGTCTTTGCTATTGTATTTTTAGCTTGGACAGACCGGATAAGTCATGCCTGTAAATATCTCAGCTAGTTGTAATCAGGCATTTCGATCAAGAGAGAGAGAGAGAGAGAGAGAGAGAGCAAGTCACACGTGACGCCAAGCTACGGCTGAGTTGTTTTTGCCTTGACTTTAAGTATAACATTATTAGAATCAACATAAATTTATTGTTAACAATGCAGATTTTACGCATAAAATCTATTATTATGAACATTTACTTTTCTAGATAGAAATTATTTTAATACTTAGGTTTGTCACTTTCTCCCTTCAGTAATCCCTTCAGTAAAAGTCGCTGCGCTGTCTTCTCAGTCGGCAGCGGTCAGTACGTAAGGGGGAAACTGCCATGGCCCCTCGGCAAATATGGTGTCTGCATCCAGGCGGTCGGCACCCGTAATAATATAATGATCCATGGTAGAAGTGCATCGCACTTGCGAGAAGCTAAACTGAATGTGCAATGTTTTCCCAAGGCTCCGAATTTCCTATTAAGGATCAGTATGTGGCTTATACTGTCTGTACGTACAAGTCCGAAAGGACACTCGACCTTGAGCATCACTACAACCACGCGAAATACTTACCTGTACATTGACTGCACGAACCAGAAATATTTCCTGCTCTAAAACTACGAGCGTGCGGTGCTACTGTGCGTATATTTTATACCGTGTCATGTATTGAACGAACGGCATAACTTTTATTATGTCCACTCGGGACAGCAGCAAACAACTATCTAAACGCTAGACATGACAACAATAACGGACAACAACACTACCGTTGCTACGGCACATTAGCCATAGGCCATTATCCATCTCACGAGAGACTCGTACAACCTTTGTACGAGTACCTACATACACTACATACCGGCAGTTGTGTACTGCTAGGTTGTACTTCTTTAGCGCAAATACAAGAATTTTTTGATTTGATAAAATCATTACAGATTTTGTGAAGCAAAAAGGCTTGAAACTGAATACCAGGTTGTAAAAACTGGCATTCATTTTCTGTACAATTCGAAAACACCTTTGCCGTAGATAAAGCACACTGCAAGCCAAAACAACTTGTAATCTTTAGGAATGAAAAAAGCTACTTTTGATTTTCAATTTAAAACTCCAAGTTTGTTATATATTTCTGGCCCAACCATTTCCGGTAAATCGACGTTCACCATGCGACTTTTACAAACTATTCCTGATAATTTATCACCCACACGGCCTCACCCATACGCATCGTGTACATTTACGGTACATGGCAAGAGGCATTCAATAACTTTAATAAATCCATAGAGCTATCATCTGGTTCAGATAAAATTTTGGACAATGAAAACTTTTTCGACAGAATTGTGCCAACACTTCTAATTCTTGATGATCTTATGGAAGAGATATCAAAAACGGCCAAATGTTCAACACTTTTCACGAGAGATGTGCATCACAAAAAAGTAATTCGCAAAATTTAAATAAACAGGGTAACAGCATGCGAGACATATCGCTTAATTCCCAATACTTAATTTTATTCAAGTCTGTGCGTGATGTGCAGCAGATAAAAGTACTTGCACGACTATTTGGTATGGCACACTTATGTGAAGCATATAAAAACGCTAAAAAGGAGTCGTTTGGATATTTAATAATTATTTTACGGTCAGATACCCCGATAACGTCAGACTGCAGTCGGATATATTCGAGTTCCAGAAAAATCTACGCCAAAATGAATCCCAAAGATGTACTGAGTATAGTACATGCTTTAGAAATTACGAATCTGCGACAGCGACGATACTGTTTTCTGGTTGCGTCTAAAAAGCAGATTTATTATAAAAAGTTTGTCAAAACTTACTGAAGCAGCCGTCTGCTTAAGTGAAATTGTTTTAGCCAAAGCACGCCAACTTGCACCGACAATTTAAGGCTTAGCAAACCAAAAGCTTCCCCAGGATAGGAAGCGAAAACTTTTACAAAACGTGGCGGTTTTTCATCGGCAATACTACCGAGTCTAGGGACTCTAGTTGCATCCTTCTAATCAAAATGAAAACTTACGTTCTTGTTCTGGAGGCCGAGTTTAGGTCAAGTTCTAAATGCTAAGCCACTTCGTGGAAGAAGGCTGAAGAAATACGCAGTGCTGTGACTCAAGATTTACTGGCTCGCGCTGCGTATCAGCCCAAACCCGAACCAGCCGCTATAAAATAGGTCAATACGCCACACCCACTTCAAGCGCTGTACTACGCTGTTACGGTACTCAGGCAACGCCCCTGCTGACTGACGAGACATCGCAAATTAGTGAACCGCCGATTGTACTGTATGTGCAAGGTGAACCCGTGGACATACAGAGAAAATCTACTATCCAATATCTTGATCGAAAGCCCCTTGCACAATACATAGAACGCGATCCTGTCATACTGTACATCGAACGTGACCAAGTTGTACAGTACGTACACGTACCCTGAAAAGCTCTAGTTAATTTTTTGCTGGCCTCTACTACTGCACCTATCGTGATAAAGTCGGTTGTGGTTTCTGTACATGGTTCGCACGAGACTGACCTGGAGATGAATTTCTGCCCAATTAACATAAACGCGAGGCACCCAACTGCCCGGTGAACAAAAGTCAAGACGTGGTTGGCCTTTCCCCTAGTGCTAGCCTACGAACTTCCTGCATGACAGATATGGAAAATCGTTTCGCTACATTTGCCGGATGGACAAAGATTAAACACCCGCGGGAGATGGCTTTAGCCGGATTTTTCTTCACAGGGACAAAGGACCGCACAAAACGTTTTCAGTGTGGTCACCAAATCGAGGACTAAGTGCCCGACGATACGCTTTGGGAAGAGCACGCCCGCCATGCTCCAGACTGTACCTTAGCAGAAGCGCACAAGGGCGAACATTTTATTATCGAAACTGTTCAAAAATTCAATTGCGAATCCGAACTTCTCTCGAGCGAAGCGTCAAAGAAATACGTAGAGCAAACTTGTGTTAATAAAGTGGAGTGTAAAGTGTGCTATTTGTGATGGTGTTAGAGAACTGTTTCGACCATGTGGTCATGCTGTGTTTTGTAGGCTCTGTTCGAATCGTTTGCATCACTGTCCTGTCTGCCGCGCTAATGTAACTGAACGCTACTCGTTGTTTCGCTACTAGCTTGTACACTGTTTTCGAATAATGCATCAAAATTTATTATTCAAAGAAAATCAATCAAAGAAAGGGGAAAAAATTCTCAACTATGACGTCGTCAGCCTGTATCCTTTCGTCAAGAAGAAAAAGCAGTACCCTATCGGTCACCCAGAAATCATTGTTTCAGATTTTGAAGATCTCAAGGAGCACAACGGTCTGGTGCGCTGTAAAGTGCTGCCGCTTCATAAGTATCGGTATCCTGTGCTGCCCCCGACCATTAACAAGAAGCTTGTCTTCGCAACTGTGCGGCGACGGAAAGCAAGGAATTCTGCCGTCTCACAGACGCCGAACGCTGTCTTGATGGCTTCCGGACCACATCCGAGCTGCACCACGCTCTCGACCGCGGATATACTCTGCAGACGGTATATGAAGTATGCCACTGGTAGAAAGTGGAGGCCGTCGTGTATACTGCGTTCATGAACAAATTGTTCAAAGCCAAGATGGAGGCCTGCGGATTGCCGAGTTGATGGAGGTTGCAACGGCAGAAAGCCGACTTCATTCGTCAAGTCAAAGAGCGGGAAGGTATTGATCTTGATTCGGAGGCCATGATTTACGATGCCAGACAACGCAATGTGGCAAAAAACTGTCTAAATAGCTTGTGGGGCGAGCAGGGTCAACGGGACGAAATGTCAATAACAAAGTTCATTACAAAGTGAAATATGTTATGAGCTTGATTCGCTCCAAGGCGGTCGAAATCTTGGATGTGTTTGTACCGTCAAGGTGACGACCGTACCGTCAAGGTGACGACCGTCAAGGTGACGACTACAACGAAGGTAGCAATGCAACCAACGTTGCGGTGGCCGCGTTTACGACAGCCCATGCCGCCTTATGTTGCTGACCCTGATGCAGAAATTGGACGACCAACTCGTGTACTACGACACTGACTCCGTCGTATTCCTTCATCGCCCCGGGGACAGGAAACCGGAAACAGGGAGCATTATGGGTGATTGGGATGACCAGTTGCAGGCTGGCGAAAGCCATATCGTGAAGTTTGCGTCATGCGGTCCGAAGGTCTACAGCTACGAAACCGACACGGGCCGAATCGAACTTAAGGTACACATACTCTACTTGTACTTTGTGTACTCGTACTTTTGAATAAACTGATGATATACATATTGTATCATTCCAAGGGGATTGCGAAAAATGGATGCACTGAGGATATCCTGGATTTTGATGAAATTACAAAATCCTCTACGGGAACGGGGAAGGCACTGGACTTTGATGAGTTACAACGCCTTCTGGGTGGTATCGACAGCCATGTGCAGGTCATCTACCCGCATTTCATCAAGCGGAACGGCAAGACACAGAAAATCAGTACTGTGCAGTTATTTAAAAAGCTGCCGATGGTTTACGATATTTGCGATCTCATTCGCAAAGCTTCGTTTGGAAACGGCAGGGGATTTCTGTGATATGTTTTCAAATTATAAGACTTCATTTCCGAGGTTGACCTCCGGTTTCATTACTGCTACAGTATGTTATCCAACGAGCTGTTATTGTCATATCAAGCGCTACAGTGCAACAGTTGAGGTCCTCGAACCTTGAATGTCGATTAACGAAGGCTTTTTTTTAAAAAAACATTCGTAACTGTCTTGGATTGCATAGTGGATGTGAATAAACAGGTATCCTGAAGTACTTTTAGATTTTTTATTCTATTGTAAATATTATTGTAGTATGGTTCGACCAAAAACAAGAAATCAGGTTTTGTTTTGCCAAGGTGATACTGGGATTAGCAGAATCATAGCTGTTTGACTAACTGCTGCAAATTTAATTAGGGCGCGAAAGATTTTCGACCCTGTATATACGACTTTGTGAGGCGTGTCTACCACATTCGATTGGTTGGCCTGACAAGCTTACAGGGATATTCTACGCAATTTAAAACCAAAATTAAGAGACTCCGCGCAAATTGCGCGGAATAAATAACAGATGGATTATTCAGTTCAAAAAACTAACTGTTTTTTGAACTACTCCTAAAAGTATAGATATGAGGAAATCATAGAATTATTATGTTACTGCTAATATATCTGTAATGTCACTGGACTGCCAAGTCAACCCTAGACGGGGCTCGTGAGCATAAGAAAGTTTTCCAATTTTTTTCCCGGAAATGAACCGGCTTTCAACTTTGCTCTACAGAACGAATCCTTCGCACCATACCAGTAAACAATCAATCAACTCGTATCATTCAATATTTAAGATTATTTGCCCAGTTGCAAAATAGTAGCTCAGTAATTTAGATACAGCTTACCTATCTGCTCATTTTTACCATCGCGATTCGCGCGCTCAGCCGCGCTGTTTCGAATTTCAGAGTAAGTAAAGTAATGTACAAGTAAAGTACTGTAAAGTATGTTGGTTGCCTCGTTTGCTGCTCCGCGAGCTCCGCTCGCGCCGCAGCTCGGCGTCGCCGGCGGCTCCGGCTTCTGTGAAAAACTTAAAAAACTATGGGTAGTCCTAATAAGTGGACATGGACGGACGGCAGGACAGGCCGGACACTGGCTGGACCAAGCCGAGGACGCTGGACAGGACGGACACCGCACGGCCTGGCACCGGGACACTGGACGTGCGCGGACACTTGTTCGTTTAGTTCTTAGTAACTTCAACTAAACTCGAATTCTCTAAGCAGTCTATCTTGTTAAGCGGTGAGGTAAGCGGTCACAACTGTTATAATACTGTTATGCATTGTAGGCAAGTGCTCAAGCTGAGTTGCTAAGCAGAAGCGCATCGTGCAAAATGGTGACCATTAGGCTTTATACTGCTGTTTGCGTCTCAGAAACCATTTACGAGAACATTTAAAAACGAAATACGATGTTATTTTAAAAAGGATATAAAAAGCATTTTATCATGCTGCATTCCTCCCGGAACCAATAACAGATTTTATCAAAGAACCGTGAGCTGCATTGGCTGCCGGCTAAAACTAGGTGATAGCTTAAAATTCTAAAGTGAAAAAATAAATCAATGGAGAATTCAACAGCACCAAAACGTCTTAGTTAAAACTGCATAGCACACAGAAGAAATACGGCGTCTACTTAGCCGGTGCCGAAACTTAATAAACTGCAGACCACAGGCGTTAATAAACTGCAGACCACAGGCGCCCCTCGTGCATCGCACTCAAGCGAGATTTCACGGAACTGCTTGTCACAAAGGTGCAATCCTGAATACTTTGGCATCTCGATATTTTTATGGCCGTCCATAAGGCAGGATTTTTGAACGTAAAAATATGCGTTTCCCGATTTAGACTGCTTGTTTTCGCCGGTTTCGAAGAATTTCCGTTTCCCGCAAGTCACTAAAACGAGGTCGAACGGTGGAGCAGGCAGCACATCTTTTGCCTTACGAAACGGTCGATCACACCCGCTGCAATTTGTCATACCCGGATTGCACTGGCCCATAAACCAAACCTCAAATTCCGTTAGGTTTGGCTGAGGTTTTTCCGCCAGGGGCTGCACTAAAATCTTTTCCCATAAAATGTCCCTGTGCAATATCGGGTCATAAGCAGGTTCGGATTTGGTTGGGCTCGTACTTGCCGCCGATTCGGATGCAGTAATGTCCCTTTTAGGACTGACTGTGGATGGCTGTGTCAAAGTTTGGCTGGGAACGATCTCTGAAACTGCAACTGAGCGGACTGCAGCGCCTCTTCTGATGGATGTGCTCCCGTGACGTTTAAGTTCTTCAGCCAGACCAAGCGTCTGTGTCTGTAAAGATCGTCTGGCGCCTCCCGTTTCTTCAACTGCGGCTGCTGGCGCGCCCTGAGCTTCTTCTGCGGTGGCCTCGGCTTGCCCTTCCTGTGCCGATGGTCCAGCTTGAACCTCTAAGTGAGGCGCTGTTGCATCTTGATTTTCTTGTGTTGTGATTTCCCACAGGGGCCTAATTTTTCACCATAGAACACCGTTTTCAGTGCACCATTTTCCAGCCTCTTGGTGAGTCTGAAGTGAGCACCGTCTGTTTCCGCACGGTGTCGCATAATACTGATCATCGTGTTCCTTAAGACAGTTGGATCGTCCCGATCCTTTTGGGGTATCATGTAATACATTCGTTCTAGCGCTGTCTGATTTGCGGTACGGGCGCTGTCCTCTGATACATCCCATGGTGCATACGAAATCGGATCTCCCGTTATTGGATCCACTATGACTCCTGTAAGCATTTCCGGTGGTCCCTCGTCCATGTCGAATTTCAGGGTCATCTTCCTACAAGTCGCATCCGTATAATTTAGGGTTGATTCATAATCATCTAGTGTTTCTTTCTTTCTTTCATCCGATTTACGAATATGTACTACTGAATATAAATTATTTCGAAATGCTTGTTCGGCCAGTTCATAAGCCTGTAGGCAGTGAACCCAGTGAACGCTAAAGCCATCCATACAGTGCTTGCCTAGCATGCTGTATGAAAAAGTGCGGAATTCACTTGGCACCACAGTAATACACATTTCGGAATTTGCGACAAGCAAACGGCCAGTACCCATGCTATAGATAAAAACACAGCCGTACTTTGCTATTGCTTTATTCGGCTAGTTGTTTCGAAAACGGCTCGGTTTACATGTTCAGCAATGCATTAATCAGGTGACAGACAGAACATTCTGTGCAAAGTACGGTAATTCGTTTCACGCAGAGTTACAATGGAGGCTATAACACTGCAACAGACAGATCGTATGCAGCAGCTCGCAAACGCGAGCGCCAGCTTTATTTAAGCGCAATGGCGCTAACCGGCTCGGGCAGAGCAAGACGTTGAACAGAACCAGACTAAGAGAATTCTAAACAGGTAGACAGCAAGCACATCTCTAGGGAAGGCGCTAATCCTCTGCTTCGACTGATCTCCCTGTCTCCTTCCATTTGGCACGATTGGTGCTGCGGACATCACAGGCCTTTCAGTCCAAGCCGTTACTGAGTAGCCAGGGTGGTATTGTGATCCTCCATCTCCCGTGCCCGTCTCCTTGGTGGTATTGCTGCCTCAGCCAAGCACTTCGCACACAGGCCTTGCGGGCCGTGCACTCGCAGCCCGAACTCAGAGTGGTCACCCATCTAAGTCCAAACCGCGCTCGATGTAGACTATCTTTCAAAACCCGAAGGTTTATCCATCTTGCCACAACGAGTGTGCTCAATCTTGCCACAACGAGTGTGCTCAACGAGTTTGTCGTCGTGCGTCTGAGACAGATGTTTACCTCTTTCACCTTGCGAAAAACTGCACCCGGGATGACCGTCCACGGGTAGACACTGGGCAGACCAAATTCTCCCTTCTCCTGTAACTCTTATTTTGCCTGTCGCATGTGCATGTGCACTTGCGGCCTACCGATTGTCATTTTTGGGAGTCGGGCCCGTCTCTCTGTGACCATGCCCGTTGCTGGTTAGCACAGTCTTAATTGCTTTTTAATTACTTTTAATGGCCTGTGCTCACGATTTGAGGGAATGGGTACTAGTTTAGGTGCTTATCGCAAATCAGGCATTAACTAAGCTCATGTGGTATGTGAACATAAACAGCTTCCAGATTTCTGTCTCTAAACCATAAACATGCAATATCCTAAACATCAGTACCACCTTTTTCAACATCATTTTGCACAGAAAACAAATTAACACTACTCGCAACTTGCGAGTCGCAAGTCATGTTCTTAGTCATCGAAAATTTTGGACTTTAACCGCATATCAGTACGACAGTACCAATGACAACCGCCCGTGGAAACCTTGCAACTTTAAACCGGTCGAACTACTGCGAACGGCAGCTCCTTGAGAAACAGTTTTGGGGCAGTTCCATACTCGCAGACTTTGCTAGGTCTTCTTTGCTACATCTCACTTTTTCTGACGCCATTTGCTTGTGAGAAATTTATAATTTCATTCAAGAATCCAGACTACGGAATAACACGTGGTCACGATTTAAGAATTTTCCTCCCATCGCAACAAAGTTGCCCAAAACGCTTTTGGCGGTCAGTGGTGGGGTGGTCAGTTTTGCAGTGGTGAGATTTCGAATTTGGTTTCTGTGTTAAAGTTTTTCTAAATTGTATTTCAAACTTTTGTTTTTGTCTAAAAACAAATCTACGAAGTATGGGCTATTGCAAGATACGTAGACATGGAAGTTTGGTTCACTGGATCGGGCTGGAGAACTCGACAGAGTGGGGATTTCGTTAAGGCTTACGCGATTAATCTGCACCGAGCGCAAAGCGCGAGGTGCTACTCTAAGCCTTTGTCAAGCGGTGCACGCATTCATAGCATTCCATAGCAGAGTATACAGTACGCTTCCCGTAGCAGAGTTTGTCCGTCGCCACGAAAAGTGTCAGTCACGCCATTCCAATTCCACAACTTTTCATTTCCATTGGCAGTGGTATTTCATAGCGTACGCGCTGTTTTAAAGATGTCATTAACATCGTTTTTGCTGATGGTACTGGACCTTAGCCACACTCCGTGTAGCTAAATGGATGGATCTTCGGATTTTGAAAGATAGCCTACATCGAGCGCGGTTTGGATTTGGATGGGTGACCACTCTGAGTTCAGGCTGCGAGTGCATGGCCCGCAAGGCTGTGTGCGACGTGGTTAGTCGGCATCAGCGCTGACCGTACTGAGTGGCGTGTACGTTTCTTCGACGCCTGGGCTTAAACGGATCCTCCATGGTTCAACTCGCTCGTCGCATCAGGATTAAACACCCCGCTCCATTCCTCATTCAACTGCGGATACGGCCGGACGATACGGATCTTGTTGTCTATAGCGTTTAGTCTGCGTGCTTTATACACGTTTACGTCAATGCTTAGCCATTGTCTAGTGTGCCAGTGCATGGGTCTAATAATGCTTGCAATTCTGAGCTGTGTTGTATCATATGCCTTCTGTAGCGGAGTTTGGTAATGAGCGTGTGTTGTGTTCGGCCAGGTTTAAAATTCCCATGCTGTGTGTGCAAAACACAGCAGGTTAATGGGTTACCTGCTACCGAGATGAAACTATAAGCGCGCAATAAAACTTGGTGTCGTTAAAATTTTAGCACGAAATTTTCTGGTCGGAATTTCGAGAAAAACAATTTGTTTTTATCCACAGCGAAATCTTTTTTGAATGTTTTTCTAAACGTAGTGTTGTCAGATGTGACACAGAGGCAACGAGGAAAATCACCTCAGGAAACCTGAGGAAAATCAGAAGGGAGCAATCACCTTTATTGAGTATCAATAAAGCAACCACAAAACCAACAAAAAGCCAATGCGGAAAAAGCTGATGGAAAAGTAGCTGCCAGCGAGCTCATGTCAAATCGTGATAATAACCGTGTTGCGGCGATCTTTCAAAATTTAAATATCACAGAACGACCGTCACATCACAACCGCTGTCGCGTGATATGAAGAAGCATCTCTGGCCTTCTTTTTACCAGATCCTTGCGAAACGAAATCACATATAATCAGCACAATCACGTACAGAAAAGGTAGTAAAAGAAAGGAAAGTAAACTGTCCCATTCATGTGGCAACTTAGACAATATGCATTTTGACCAGTCTGACCAACTCTGCCCTCTCCTGTCTTTTGATAGGAAGCAGAGAAATTACCAGGTGATCAGGACCTATCGGCTCAAAAAGGCGAATTGGGCAGGGATGCAGAGCTAAACAGCGAACGGCTATCACACAAGAATGGTTCTGATTCAGACCGCTTGCCATTTTTATAGCACTTGCGATGATAAGCATCGGTGATATGTGACGGTTTGAGAGTCATCGCAACACGGTTAGTGAGCGGCGTGCTGCAGCTGCGTATCAGCTGAGGCCGCAAAGCATGGATTAGCTCGTAAGCGCTGGGCATCGCCCCCACGAGTGCAACAGCAACGCTGATAGGTCGGCGTAGACAAAGTAAACGCTGAGTAATCAGTGCGTAGCGCGGCACGAGTGGCGTGGCCACCTGCGTGCGGGCGACAGAGCACAAGCCACGAGAGGTGTGTACCGCCTAGAGTGAGCGCGGTCTCTGACATGCCTCTGGG